TGTGCAAAAACAAATCCCGAAAACTACAACAGTTAGAGGGCAATGTGAATGTTTACATGGGTGATCACATTATGTAATAATTTGCTAAAAATCATAGGGGGGAACCAACTGCACCAAACAACACCCAACAACACAAACAAGTCCAACATTGATGTCACACTGTGAATATTTACATCACATTCCATCACATTGTTGAGTGAAGTTTGGGGGCTCTGTGGACATAAAAAATGAACCATATCAACAGTGATAGTAATATGAACATTCACATCATCATACACTGATGTGAATGTTCACATCATTATACACTGCTGTGAATATTCACATCAGTGTCTACTACTGTAAGTTTAGCGAGTAATCAACACTAATGTGAATGTTCACATCATATATTTTTACAAAATTAATTTCGAAAACATCTATGTTTACAAATTCAAATCCGAAAACCAGAAGGTGTATGTATACATCAATGATGACATTATGATTGAGAAGCAGAAGGTGGAATGGTATTCCTTACTTTTGTTCGTCATGGTTGGTGGGTATGGATCACACTCAGTGGATAAAATAAACTCAATGGGGCGACAAGAATCTTCGAACGACGAAGCACCCTCCTTCCGATGTGAAGCTTCGCAGTGGTGAGACGAAGAGGAATCTAGGGTTACTGGAGGCAATATCAGTATCGTTTCGTCGATTGAGTTTTTGTTTTGGAAATTTTGTGGATTGAATATTTCGAATAGGAATGGGTTTTTGCAGAATCGGTTTCACGCGGGAGAGGCGGAGAGGGTTATTTCGTCCTTTAACAATTAATGGACCTAATGGAATATTCAGAAACAGTTTGGGTTTTATGGAACAAAACAGTTATAAATAGGACTTATCAAAAAATGGCCCTATTTTTTATTTTTGTAACCGAGTGTCTAGGTTAATTTACGCTCATCTTGACTAATCTCAAGACTTATACAAAGTGTCCCCTTCAAGTGGATCAAATAAATCTTCGAGAGAGTGCACATCCATGGACTCAAAGAGGTAATAGCACTTGAAAAGAGTTGAACCTGAGACCTGAAAGAAATATAATTTCAACACTTTTATAATAGTACAATTACAAGTTAAAATTTGAAGATTTAGCCTTGTCTTTATCATCACACATGAACAACTCAGTGTAAGTTCTTTTATCAACATCTAAACCCCAAAATTTAGGCAATATAAATCACTTTCAATTTTTTTTTAAAAAAAAATAACCTTTTTTATGAACAAATGTTCCACAACAAATTCAATATTCGTTATTATCCAAATGGAATAAACTTTTTTTTTATTGCTTTTGAGTCTACTTAAGAATATTGCATGCATAATAACTTCACTTTTTCTTTTTCTATATTAAAGAACATAATAGAAGACAAACACTCTTAATTCCTAAAAATAAAAAAATAAATTGCACAAATGAAATCTTGTTAACATGCCCATATACCACGGCCCTCCTTCTAACACTTAGCTACAAGAGTCTGAATTTTCAAAGAAGAAGAACATAAAGCCCTCCCCATTAGCTTGAACTTCCTTGAGACCCATATTTTTCCACAAATTATGAACACTATTCCTTGTATAATTGTAAGGGAGTTTTTTATCCAGAAAATATCCCACCAAACAAGCTTCCCATTTTTCCAAACCCACCTCACGAATAGGTAATTCTACAACATTTGGGTTGTTAGTTTTTGGAGGAGGGATATACCTTAATTTGACAGAAGATTTGCTAGGTATGTTAGCTACCTTTGCCTTTGTTAAAATTCATATTTGCATACAATTTTTCAAA